AAGAGATCTCGACGAAAGACAAACGTTAATGCTTCTTCAAAGCTTACCTACCTTCCTCTGAGGCCAGCGACATATTGAGGAAAACTGTCCCTCTCCAAGCTCGGCTGTTCCTTTCCAACCTCATTGTTTGTTTTGTACTTCTACAGTTTCGCAAGAGTTGCACTCTTTATTATTTCAGTGTGCAGTGATCAGTTCACTAATCGCTATGGCATTTGGCAAGCCAACATCTGCGTGTGTGTATGCGCACAAACACACACAAACAGCTCACAGTCCCCTCCAGTCCCATTGCAAAAGTCCTGGCTTGAAATTTTCGAGGGATATATATTGTTGAACTTAGCTGGCGGTCCAGAAGCAAAAGAATAGAAAAAGCAAATGTTGGGAGAAAGGAATCCTTTTTCCAGGGCCAATCTACACAAGGTTTCTTTTCCCCACTGTTGCATGCAGATCTAGTTTACGTGTGAGGACAGGATTCTGCTTATGCTGACATTGACCTCCTATTCTGTATTTTCTCAGAATACCTGTATGAAAGCTACTTCTCTTCTTCTTTATTCTTATTTGTCTTTGTGTGTGTGCTAGCCCTGTGGTACTGTAACATTGCCTGGTGGAAATGGCAACAGCTTTTAGATTTACGAAAGTTGAATGAAAAGTAATGGCTCCACCTTCATAACTCCTCAACAGATGGCAGTACTGGTATGCGGCAGGTACTGGCTTGTTCAGTAGACTCTCCTCTACAGTTCCATTTTGGTGGGAAGCCTTAGCATTGAATGGTTGTGTTGTTAAAGTGCGAAGTATGGAACCCTGCACAGACGGTCGGTCAATGCAACTTAAGCAATGTGCAGTCATTGAATTCTTGACAGCAGAAGATGTCACCCCAAATGAGATTCATCAGAGAATGCAAGCTGTTTGTGGTGATTGTGTTGATGTGAGTACTGTGCGTCGTTCAGCAAGTAAGTTTAAAGATGTTGAGGTGGGAACATCTGACTTGCGTGACAAACAAAGAGTTGGACGTCTTGTGGCAGCAACCACCGAGTTTCACAAGCAAAAGGATGACAGATTGATTCAGGATGATCGCCATATCACTCAGAGAGAAATTTAAAGCATAATCAGCATTTCACAAGAATGTGTGGGTCGCATTATTGCTTTGCTTGGCTATCAGAAGATCTGTGCTCGATGGGCTGCGGAAACAGAGTGTCAACTTCTTCTGTGATGGCTTCAGAAAACTTGTTAATCGTTGCCAGAAATGTATCCAATTGTCTGGTGATTATGTGGAAAAGTGAATAGTGGTAGTTAAAGAGCACATTCTAAGGATTATTTCTGTGTTTGATTTACTAAAATATTCCCATCCAAACCCAAGTAAGGAAGGTGGAGGCATTACTTTTCATTCAACCCTCATAATTCAGAAATCTTGCTTCCCATTTTTGTCTTTTGAGACATGGACAGAGAGGTTTTAAAGTCGGGAGTCAGGGCCTCTCCTCAACTTGGTTGCTACTGTTGAAATCATCCGTCATTTATTTTAGTATATATATTTAAAAACACTTTCCTCTAATACATACTTTCAAAATTGTGTACAACACATCCTTTTTCTGTTGTAATTTTACTTTGCACCCTCATAGCTTTGTAGGTGCACTACAACTTCTTCCGTGACGGCTTCAGAAAACTTGTTCATTGTTGGCAGAAATGTATCCAATTGTCTGGTGATTATGTGGAAAAGTGAATAGTGGTAGTTAAAGAGCACATTCTAAGGATTATTTCTGCATTTGATTTATTAAAATATTTCCATCCAAATCCAAGTAACGAAGGTGAAGGCATTACTTTTCATTCAACCCTCATACAATACAATAAGCAAACATAGTCATATACAAAAATATTACTATTGGAGGCTTGACGAAGGTTGCTTTTTCCAACAACAACAACATAGGATAAAGATTTTCTAGATTAGCAGTGTTCTATGATGGAGAAATTTGCCAATGTGATGAGGTTATAAATAACAGTGTATCATACTGAAGTGATGCTGAAATGTCTCTCATTTTGGTGTGGACTGTCTACAGACGTCACATGCAACTCCTGGAACGATTCCATCAGCGCTGCCTCCAGAAAATCCTGC